GATAGATGGATAGATGGATAGATGGATAGATAGATAGATAGATAGATAGATAGATAGATAGATAGATAGATAGATAGATAGATAGATAGATAGATAGAAAAATAATCCTGAATGTTTAGATTCATATTTCTTACCCAGATCATAATTGATGCTGTTAAAGTTTTGTGTATTTTGTTTAACTAAATGTCAGTGTGTCAGCAGTGTATCAATAATTAGACCTGCAGCCAGTGTTTATTGGTGTCAAAGGTCTTATGAGGTCTGTCCTGTTTCTTAACAAGTCACTCATTGGCCACTGTGATGTCTATATGTAGGCCGTGAATCACTATCAAAACCAGAGTTATGTAATTTATTGCGATCAGAGTTCAGTTCTTATATGAGAAATTAAAACCTGACCGTGTGGAGCGAGCAGCTGCATGTTGGATCATGATCCGGTCTAACCATGGATATAAGCTACACGCTGACGCTGTGCTCCCATCCACCAGGTAACGGGATATAAGAGTGTGTGTGTGTGTGAGATGATATGCATTGTGTGTGGACTATAACCGTCTTCCTGTGTGTAACGAAGATAGCTGCGCGGGGCAGAGGTTATTTTTATCGGCCGGTTGTTGGAGGAGAGAGCGGATCCAGAGGTCACCACGGGCCTCAGATTACTGGACGCTCGCTCTCATCCGCTCGAGCAGCTGCCTCGATCTACATGTTGCTTTAATCCTTGCTGAAATCTAGATGGTTTCATTACACTGCATTTACAGAAGAAAAGGGAGGAAAGGAGCGATGAAAAAAAACAGTTTCACTTTCACTGTAGTTGGGTTATTAATCACAAAACTAACCAGCAGCTATTTGGACAACTGGCTGGTTCCAGTCTCTAAATGAGATGATCTGCTTGAATGTGAATTGAACATCTTTGGGGTTAAATCATGTGAAGACCAACACTTTGTAATGTGAGTAATCAAGAGAACAACCAGCAGATTGATCAGTTATGAAATAATCATTAACTGCAGCCCGAACTTTCTTGTCTGACTTAATTCACCAACATCTTAATAACGCAGCGTTCTTCCTCGTGTCCTGATTCTAAGTATTTACATTCAGGGCATGCTGGGAAGTAAAGGTTTTGTCACATAAGGTCATGATGTGTGTTTTAAAGTCAAGGTGCTGATTTATATAAATGCTGAGGATGCTGAGGATGTTGTCAGGCCAGAGCTTCATGTCTGGCGTCACCCGGTGAAAGAGCCTCTTGGTGGAAGCAGATGGCTCAGTGATTAGCGTTGCCACTTCTCTCTGAACAGGTGGAAGGGGAGCCGTGCAGCGCCGGTGACGCCCACTCAGGTGCTAAAAGCGGACCCAACTAATTGATGCGTAGATTCTCTGACGCTCAACAGACTAATGTTTCTACATGAAGTTGATTTATTGAAGCTTCAGCTTTCGATCTCTGCTTCTCATTTCTGTCTCTGTCTGCTCATCTTTTCCTCTTTTCTTTCTTTCTTTCTTTGTCGAGTTCGTCTTAAACCAGGCTGAGTGCTTCTTCACCTTCTTTTCTCTCCCTCTATCTCTCACTAGCATATCTTGCTTTGGAGCCCTCTTCTTATTCCCACCCCGGCTCTCAGAGCCTCTCCAAAGGTATCTTTTTCTTCCTACCTGCCTGTTCTGCTCTTCAGCTACTTGGTCATTTAGTGCCAGTGTGAGAGGGGCTTCGGTCATCCCCGTGGCCTCCAAAGCCTCCCACGGCAGTAGACCAGAAGCCCCTCTCTGCTTTTTGCATGTAGATGACAGCAGACGAGAGAATTGCATAACAAAGGTCTGCTGTGTGCCGCCGTAGGCAGCTCGTAGTGCCGTAGCAGTGTGAGTGGTTCTTTATGTTCATGTAGAGCTAGCGCTGCGCTCACATTCAGACCACCAGCAACCACACAGCCACATCACAGAACTCACAAATAACTAGCAGTAACAGTGTTTAAGTAATACACCTGACGTATGTTTAACCACACGATTGGCTGCTGATGTCAGTCTCAGCATGTGAAGCAGATTTTGAGCTGCTCGTGTTGCATGTGGTCAGAACGTTTCATCAGGTAGTCCGTACACCTGGCATGCTGTTAGTCTGGAGTGATCCTGTGGTTTTATTTCACTGGAGTTATGTGGAGTTGCTTGGATGCACATTGAGCATGCACAGTGTGGCCACTAGATGGCAGGCGTGAACCCTATCAGTGACGTGTTCTCTCTGACCTCAGTCCTCAGTGCCGATCGGGTGGAGCAGATGACCAAGACTTACAATGACATCGAAGTGGTCACGCACCTTTTGGCTGAGGTAGGTGTCACCTCCTTTGTGATCGTTTGTTTTCTACCATGTAGTCGTAACTGTTTGGCTGATTGTGTCCTGTGTTTTGATTGGACAGCGGGACAGAGACTTGGAGCTGGCAGCTCGGATCGGCCAGTCGCTTCTGCAGAGAAACCACCTGCTGCAGGAACGAAACGAGGCCGTAGAGGAGCAGCTCGCACAGGCTCTGGACCAGGTACAGGACTTCATCTATTACAAAGGGTTTAATATAAGAATGCTACTTAAATAAACTGTGTGTGTGTGTGTGTGTGTGTGTGTGTGTGTGAGCATAAATGGGCCTAAAATGTGGTTTAAGTATAAATGATAATGAAAATAAATGCAATTAAAAACAAAACGCAACTGATGAAAACAGAGAATAGAGAAAAAGTAATATGATGTTAGGATAATCTAAAACAGGAAATAAGGTTTTCTCACTTAGCAAAAGTAAAACATTAATTAAATTGGTGTCGTATATTGAAGGTGGCATTTAATCGTAATATGAGGTTTAAGTTACTGAATGAATTCAGTCCAAGAATTGTATGTAATGTAGTAATGTTGTTGTCCAAGTCAGACGACTATATGAAGCACCAAGCAGCATGCTACAGGTCTTCTGTCTAGTCTTATTTAAGCATGAAAAAAATAAATGTATAAAACAGTGTCGTCTGCATATCATCGACCAATACAATCAGCATGAATGTTAACAGTATGGGCCCTTAAATAGATCCTTGTAGGACACCGTTTCACATCTGACGAGCAAAATACTGCTTGAACTACATGATTAGTGTGGTGTTTTTCAAGAAAATGATGATAAACCAAATTAAAAGCCTCATTTATGTCAATAAAAACTTACCCTAAAAAGGGACTTTTTCGAAATTAATAAGTAAATTCAACAAGCAGACTAGCAGACCAACTGAAACAAAGTCAGATATTTCGAGTACAGTGCTACAACTTTTAAAATTTTTAGGAAACTGTAGGAACTTTTCTTTTATGCCGTCTCTCTCACAGACTGTACTCACTTTACCTTCCCCTCTGTTCAGGTCCACCAGCTGCAGCATGAGCTCAGTAAGAAGGACGAGCTGCTGCGGATGGTGGCCAGCGCCTCGGAGGAGAGCGAGACCGACTCCAGCGTGTCCACCCCCCAGCGGCAGCCTCAGCCGCCGGGGGGAACCACCGCCGCCGCCGCTCTCAGCCAGCTGGAGTTTCTGCAGAACAAGCTGCAGGACCTGGAGGAGGAGAACCTGTCACTGAGGTCTGAGGTACGAGGTTCTCAGGGAGGGAGACGAGTGGAATCAGGATTTACCTTTCTGGGTGGTGTCTAATGTCTTTGTCCACTCCAGGCGTGTCAGCTGAAGAGAGACACCATCACCTATGAGGAGAAGGAACAGCAGCTGGTCAGCGACTGTGTCAAGGAGCTACGTGAGTCAGACGCACACATCCACAGTCCAAGAGAACATTTACAGGTCGGGAATCTAATCTGAACTCTTTGCCTCAGGTGAGTCCAACAGCCAGATGGTGTCTCTGACGGACGAGCTGTCTCAGAAGAACGAGGAGCTGCTCAGGCACCAGGAGGAAATCGCTCAGCTGCTCTCACAGATCGTGGAGCTGCAGCACAGAGTGAAGGAGGTAACTTCTGATGTCTGATCACCGACTGTCTGACAAACACACCGTGAGTCAAAGCTCATGTTGTCTTGTTGTTTCTCTCCAGCTGGCTCTGGAGAAAGAGGAGCTGAGGATCCACCTGCAGGCCTCCAAAGATGCTCAGAGGCAGCTCACAGCGGAGGTACAGCGTCACACAAGCACAACACTGCTTTAATACTCGTGTTGTAGGTTTGTAGCTTTTATGTGCAGTGTTGTTGTATGTTGGAGCACATTTACAGCAGCTTACACAGACTGTAGATCCTTCAACCCTCTGAAGCAGTTGGATGTCAGACAGTTTTGCTCCATTTTTCATCCTTGTGGGCTCATTTTTTGCTGCAACATAAAGTCCTGCATTTTTTTGGAAACAGTACGACCATGTCTTGAAATAAAAAATGTCTTCTGTGCAGTGTAACACCATTATAAAGCCATAAATCATAAAAAAGAACAAAAAAGTTGAATTTCTTTAATTATTTATTTTGCAAAAAATGAAAAAAACATTTGTTTTTCCATAATTACTTCCTGTTTTGTTTTTTTGTTTTTGTTGTTTTTTACTGAATCTGTTGTAAAGAGTTTATTTTTGACAAACTTTAAAATGCAGACGTGTAGAATAAAGTCATTTTGATTAAATATCCCGATTTTAAACTTAAAATAGATCAAATTTCCCAGATGAGTAGTTGGAGGACCATCTGAAAATGAAAAATACAATTAATTTTTTTGTTATTACAGTTTCTGGCTCTGATTTTTTCTTTCTTTTAAACCCGATGTCAGGTTTTGGAGTTCAGAGGGTTAAAAATGCTTATTATAAATATTTAAGTACATTAATTGTAATAAACAATTGAGTGCTTAATTTACATGGTGTTAAAATAGCAACAGTTTTCATTCAAGTTGTAATTAGTAATTATGTTAATATGCTCAGCGTTTTATTTAATTAAGACACTACAACTGACAATTCTACATTTCTGGTCCTAATACCTAATTTAAATACTTATTAACGTCTTTGCTTAATTAATCACTGCATGCAAAAACAAAGTCGTTAAGTCAAAACGCTGCTTGTGTTCATGTTGCTGCAGCTGAACGAGTTGGCGGAGAGGAACGCCGAGTGTGTGGAGATGCTCCACGAGTCCCAGGAGGAGATCAAGGAGCTGCGCAATAAGAACACTCCCTCTGCTGGGATGCGACGGCACATTTCCTACGGCCTCTACCCCATGGTGAGACAAACACCCGCGAGCTTGATGCAGAAGCACAGACAAGAAACACAATCATGTGACTATGAGGAAAGGGCTCTGTTCATCAAATGTGTGTCTGCAGGACTCGCTGGCAGCAGAGATCGAGGGCACCATGAGGAGAGAGCTGAGTGTGGAGGAGGAGACCGCCTTTCAGGACCAAAGGTTAGAGACCTAGATGTCGCTGAGGAAGTAAAGATTAGCTTCTCTTGCTAATGAGGCCGACAAGTGGTGTCAGGGAGACAAATCACTGCATCGATTACGTGCCGCCTCCAAACAATTAAACGCTGCACGCTGTCTGAGCAGCTGGTTACGTATCGCTCATGTACTTCCTGCTTTCGATAGCTGTTTTCAGATCCTGTCTCTGACCTTTGACCTCATCCCTGCAGAATTTCCCAGAAGCGAGTCTTCCAGACGGTCCGCTCTGTCAACGCCTCGGCATCGCGTCCAGCTTCGGCCACCCCTCCTATCCCCGGCTCCGGACAGAGCTCTCTGGTGATGACTGCACAGCCCTTCCAGTCTGCTCAGGGGTGAGTTATAAAGATTAATAACTTCCTTGTCCTGCATTCTAACTTGAGTTTGGGCTATTTCAGGTCACACCGTGTGTCTGTGTTTACAGGGAGGAGGTGCGCCTGGGTCAGCCCGGCTGTCCAGGAGGAAACGACCTCACCAGAGCGCTGCACCGACTGTCGCTGCGGCGCCAGAACTTCCTGTGCGAGCGGCAGTTCTTCCAGGCCGAGCGCGAGAAGAAGCTTCAGGCCCTGTCGGCGGCCCCGGGGGTCGACGGGGACGAGAGCGGCTGCAGCTCGCCGATGGGCAGCGTGCTCTCCTCGTTCTCCAACCTGTCAGAGCTCTCCATCAGCTCCAGCGTTTTCAAGACCTTCCTGCCCGAGAAGCTCCAGATTGTCAAGCCCATGGAAGGTAGAATTGAGCAGCTTTGTTTCAGCCTCCAGTCCTGTTGACCACAGAGCAGTTTGATGTGTAACTGATTCAGTCTGAACCAGGGCTGTCACACAGAGTTTATGGGCTGCAGTCTGTGAGTAGATGCAGCGATCTTAGCTCCTGTCTCAGCAGCTCCACATCAGTCTCTGGTCAAATGTAGGCAACATTGTTGGTGGCACATTTCTTGCCTTGAGCTACCTGGTGACTGGTGCTTCATCTAGAGAATACTGAGACTGCAGAAGTGGCTTTTCCTTCGCTCACATCCAAAATGAGAAAGAAACTGAAAGTGTACATGTGCATTCCTGATTCTTTTGTCCATTAAATGTCAGATATTTTTTTAAGGTCTATTAACCGTCTGAACTGCCGACGGGTTTGAAAGGCTTTTTTTTTTTCTTTTTTTTAACTCACCAGTGTAAAACGAGTTTGCTAGCAATTAATTTCTTCTTTAGAACAATTTTATATTTGATATTACCTGTTTTAATTTAGCGCTGAATGTTTCCAGCTGGTGTTCGAGTCAAAGTTTGTGAGGTTTAGGAAGAGCTGGTCTGCCGGCTCCAGGTTTCATCCACGAGTACCGGGCTGCAGACAAGATGGCGGACCGCAGCGGTCAACAGGAAGTGATGTCACCTGAACAGCAGAAGAGTTCCACACAGATTACAAAAATATACAAAGTTTAATTCAGTAAAAACATATTTTAAAAGTTGACTGACTTGCTGAAAGGTTTCATACAATATTTTAAATTAAGTTTATATGTAATTAGCACATATTTTAAACTAGTCAGCTGATGTAATGTTGTTCAAAGTCATTTAAACTTTGGATTATTTAAGTCTATTTTTTTTATCAGTACACCTGTGCGTGCTGAATTCCTCGATACGTTAAAACTTGGTGGACGACATTAAATTAAACCCCAAGAACTTTTTAAAAGATCTTTAATCTGTGTCTTACCGTTGTCCAAGTGACAAAAACAACTTCTGCTGCTCAGGTGATGTGGTTTCATGTCACCTCTGGATCCTGTCTGCATCCAGGTCCCTCCTACGTCAGTAAAACCTGCGATAACAAACACTCCAGGGAACAACTTTAACAGTTTACACAAATAATAAATAATATCAATAATAAATGAACAACACATTGTGACATTTCTGTCTCAGGCTCGCTGACGCTCCACCACTGGCAGCAGCTGGCCAAACCCCACCTGGCCACCATCCTGGACCCACACCCCGGCGTGGTGACCAAGGGCTTCCGCCCGCTGGCTCAGGACGCCGTGTACCGGCTGTCTGACATGGAGGAGGACGAGGAGGACGAAGAGCAGGTTGGTGTCCTGGAGAAGGGGGCGGCGGAGAGAGGGAAGGAGGAGGAGGAGGAGGAGGAGGAGGAGGAAGGCGGGATCACCTTCAACGTCCGCTGTTCTTCTACACCAGAGGAGAGGAAGGACAGGAACCGTTCGGTGTCGCCTCTCCCCCTCCGCCCTCTCTCCTCCACCCTGCCGGCATCGCCCGCCACGCCTGCCGCTTCGTCGTCGGTGCGATCAGACGTCTGTCTCACACCGCGACACGTCACAGACAAATCCAGCCTATCAGCTCAGTCCATTCCAGTCGCCTCCACGGCAACGGTCCAATCACAGAGTCTGGTTTGTACCACGACATCAGCGACAGCTTCCTCCTCCGGTAAATACCGCTTTACAAGTCCCAGCTCATTGCTGCCACTGTGGGGTACTCAGTTTATCTCATAACCTGATCTGTCGTGTGTTCAGTCCAAAACCCAGGCAAGTGTCAGAGCTCCACCTTCTCCACCTACACCTTCACCACCTGCCGCATCCTGCACCCGAGTGACATCACACAGGTGACCGCAAGGTGAGCCACGAAGAAAATAGTCACCCGTCAAAGTTTGTGCATCACATCTAAGCACATTGTTAGAGACACGATCCACAGAGAGCTCAGATGGAGGCAGCTCACCGTCTGAACCCTGCTTCCTTAGTTACTGTTGCTACACTACACTACAGCGATACTGGTCACACATGTCTTGGGTTTGAGTCAGAGTGGAGCTTTAGTAAAGTCTTATACTCGGCTACACTGAACATAAGTGGAGCGTTTTCAGACTGAATTAACTGACAGGGAGTTTTCATTTAGGATTGTTGCGTCTTTGGGTTTTGAAACCTGGACCCAAAGTTCTCAACAAATTTGTGTAAAATGAGTATTTACAGACGACAGTAAACTTTGTGAGCTGTAAAGTTGAACATATGCACCACTTATGTTTTACTGATGGTAGTGGAGGCGTGATGTAGCCACCAGCCCACATACATGACGTGTTCATGGCCCTCGCTCTGACATCATCGTCTCATCTCTCCTGCTCACAGTTCTCAGTCGTCCCTGATGGCCAACACCCCCAGCTCCATGAGGACCGGCCCCAGCACCCCCGTCACTCCCTGCAGGCTGAGTCTGGGCGACTCCTTCCCCCCTCGCCGGCCCGCTGCAGCCCCCTGTGGTCTGGCCAAGCTGGTCCTGGAGAGGGGCATTTCCGCACAAGTCTCCACCGACACCCCCCCTGCATCCCCGAAACCCGCCTCCCGGCAGCCCCTCTTTCACCTCATGCCCAGCACCCCCCCTAACTCCCCCTCACACTCCCCTGCTCCCTCCCCGGTTCCTATGGAGCCCCGGCAGCACTCGGCTGACAATTTCCTCGCCTCTCGGCCTGCAGAGCTTTTCCTCCAAGACGTTTACGGGTTGAACCTGGGCCGCGCCCCGCATCCCGACCTGCCCAGCCCCTCCCAGGAAGCCCCAGGCCTCGTCTCCACCGCCAAGTCAGGCCGAGGCCGGCCGGACCCGGTGAACGTGGGCCTGGTGGAGAGGCTGCGGCGGCTGGGGTTCACTAAGGTGCTGCACGGCTCAGAGTCTGACGCTTCGGCGCCTCGCCAGGATTCGGCCACGTTTGTGTCAGCGGGCGGAGGGAGCCTGTTGGACGGCCTGAGGCGCAACCAGAGCCTCCCGGCCATGATCGGCGCCCGGGCGGGGAAGTCGACCGCTAACCCTCCTCCTCACCCCACTTCCCTGGCTCTGCCCCCGCCCCCATGGGGGAACCTTAAAGAACGCCGCAGACATCTCGCCTCCGTCTCCAACCCAAACTCAGCCAAGCGCTGAGGGCAGGAGGCGGGTCCAGAACTCCAGAACTCCTCCCTCACACCTCCACCCCATCTCTCCTCCTTTCTGCCTTCGGAGAGAGAAGTCAGGGCCAGAACAATCCCTCCTTTTTATGACTTCATTTTAAAGCACAATTTAACTGAACTGACTGTTTCTGTGTGTAGACGTCTGCCATGATGCTAGTTCATAAGGCCTTAGCTTGCCTCCGAGCGGGTTATTCTCTTCTTAGGTTCGCTAGTTCTCCGGATGTCCAGGTGCAGGTAGGGGAAGAAGGGACAACATGTAAGTGTACGAGGGTTTGTGGAAGTGGATCAGAAGAGAGTGAGAGGAAGGAAGTGTGTGAAAGCGAGGGACAGTGTGATCTGTTTAGAAGAGAAAGGAAGGTGGTGAGAGTGAAAATGAGCATCCGGAGTCTTGCAGTTTCAAGGGCTTGTTCTGTCGTGGGTTAGAAAAGCTTTAGTGTGTAGTAGAGCAGCATCATGCTAGCCCAGTGGAAGGTTTAAGGACACATGCCTTTAGAGTCAGAAGAGAACTTGCTTTTATTACTTGAGGACTAGCTGGAAGACTTTAAGCGCTAGCTGGCTCATCAGCGTACTGCCAGGCTAATCTTGTAGTCGGACCATGCCTCCAAACACGCCAGTATTAATTCATATGATAATGATTTTACAGTAGTCCAGTGTTTGCACGGATGTCTGGTAACCGTCCATGTGCCGTGGCCGAGCGTCTGCATGAGAAGCAACCTTGCCTACAGGTCCCAGCATGCACCTGTCTGCAGACGGGTGGGGCCAGACTGAAGGCGAGGTCAGAACCAAATCGGGCGCCAGGCAAAAAAAAAAAAAAAAAGGAGAAAAGGGTCGGCCTTTTCCTTCAGGTCCTTGTGTTTTATGTGTGTTTTTTTAATGGTATGAGGCCTTAAGTAGAAGCCAGCACTGTTCTGATTTGAGTTCCTGTTAAGCCATGTTTGTACATACTAGCTGCACTCGGTGGGGGCTGGAGGTTCGGTTCATTTGAGGATCACTGCTCGGTCGGTCACCACGGGGGTAAAATGTTTTTAAAGAGAATCGGTACAGCTTTCAGCCATCATGCTCGTCTCAGGCCTGTTCAGGTTAAGAGGGAAAAACCACTTCGTTTAGCCGTGTGTCACATCCAGGCGGTTGTTTTCTGTGTTTAAAATGTCTCGGATTTCCTTCACGCACGTGTGCGGTTCACACGTTGGCCAGCAGGTGGCAGCATCCTAACAGGAGTTAACATGTTAAAGTACCTTCTAAGATTCTGTACATTAGAGCTTTGACCCCGGCTGCTGTTCCTAACATCCACCCACCCCGCTGACCCTCCCACCCAGTAACTGCACTTTTACTTTTGTATTTAACCTTTATTAATTTACTGACAACACTGACATAAGAGTTTAACATATTAATGAAGAAAACTTAGCATAATGTGTGCCTGTTGTAACGACGTCCGCTAACATTTTAAGATTTTAATATATGCAGCGTTTTGTTTTTGCTTTTCACATGAAGGGAATCCAAATCAAGCTAAAAGTGTTATTTTTTATTATTATTATTTTGGAAGTAATGGAATTACTCTGGCTTTATGTTTCTGTGACGCATTTTAAGCTAATTAGCGCTACCGTGTTTTTAAAAAGAGCTTCAGCTAAACGTTTTGTAAGAAGGAAGGCACATCCAGACTGTTCATATCTCTAGATTAGCTCTTTAGATTAGTCGTCCAGTTGTTCCTTGTAAAGCAGGAGGTTCAGGTTTGTGTCTTTCTTTGGCTAAAACATTCTTCCTCATTCTCCCCTCTGAGATCATGTTTCCTTCATGGCTATTATTCGGTTGCCTCTTTTTTTAAATAAAGCAATATAAATATAATACACGTCTCTGGTTTATTGTGACTTGATGCAGAAAAGTTTGATCCAAATGTTGGAGAGAACAAACAGGAATGGAGGTTGGGGGGAGTTTACATTCAGGTGTCAATTGTACATGACTAAAGCTACGAGGATACAGCTACTGGGGATCTTTGCTTAAATTTAAGGATCAAAAATGAATCATCTCTAGAGTTGTACATAAACAAGGCCATTTTGGTCTGCTTTGACTAAGTGCATTTAAATTCATGAAATCAGATGCAACTAGACTTTATAAAAACTTCCAGTCAGTGTGTCCTGACAACATTGTCCATCAGTCCTCACATGGGACAGATCTTGATGCTGTCAGAACTTGAAGTGAACTGGCCGAGAGCAAAGTCCAGACCCACCCCGACTCCGCTCCCGACCCCGAAGGTGGCGTAAAGCGGCTGGGTGAAGTTGGCGCGGAAGGTGTGGAGGTGTGTCATGTTGTCCGCCACGCTGTAGAACGAGAGCGTCCCCGCCGACAGGTCCAGGTAGATGCCCAGACGGGGGGAGTAGGTGACCGGTATGTCCCTCTTCTCGTTGTCGTGCATGGCCGAGCAGCAGGTGTCCGACAGCTCCAGGGTCCAGGACTGGGCGTTGTAGCCGAGCCCCGACCGGGCGTCCGAGCCCTTCCTGCTCAGGGCCCCGTAGGCGACGCCCATGGAGGAGCCGCGGCCCCTCCACTCCACCTCCCAGTAGCAGCGCTGGGCGTACAGCGGGCTCTGGCACATCACCTGGGTCCAGCCGTCGAAGCGCTGCGGGGTGTCGGGGTAAGGCTGCGCTGCCCCCTGCAGGGTGGCTTTAGTGTTGCCCTCAGAGAGAGCCAGCCGTCTGTGGGCTGTGTTATCATCAAGGGTCAAGTTCACAGAGTCTAGGAGAGAGATTTAAGGGATATTCTTGAAAAAAGCAAATCAGAAGCGGACCTTGAACTACGATGACTGAGATCAACAATGAACTGATACCAGCGCCATGAACGAAACCATACAGTCGTCCTTAAATGTATTCATCTCCTCACATTAAAGAAGGAAGAAAACAGGTGTCGCTGAAATAAGCTGAAATTGGTAAAAGTAATAATAAATAAAAATGTAATGAAAATCATGTTGTGCTTTTGCATTATGGCTCAACAGAAATATGAAAAAAAAACCAAGCAAACAAGCACGATGGGACCCGTAAACTAACATGTAGTTGTGTTCTGTTGACAGGAATTCACTGCTCATCAGCAAAGTGCTCTAATTTGTCCGGGACAGTTTTTTTTTTTTTTTTTTAATTATTCTTATCAACCACAATTCAAAAGCAATGTCTTATTTCACTAAATTATAATTTAGCAAATTTTTATTTATTNGGGTGGCTTTAGTGTTGCCCTCAGAGAGAGCCAGCCTTCTGTGGGCTGTGTTATCATCAAGGGTCAAGTTCACAGAGTCTAGGAGAGAGATTTAATGGAGATTCTTGAAAAAAGCAAATCAGAACCTTGAACTACGATGACTGAGATCAACAATGAACTGATACCAGCGCCATGAACGAAACCCTACAGTCGTCCTTAAATGTATTCATCTCCTCACATTAAAGAAGGAAGAAAACAGCTGCAGTCACTGAAATAATGTTGAAATTGACAAAAGTAATAATAAATAAAAACTTTATGAAAATCATGACATTGCTTTTGAATTATGGCTCAACAAGGATGATGGGACCCGTAAACTAATATCTACCTGTGTTCAGCAAAGTGCTCTAATTTGTCCGGAACAGTTTTGTTTTTTTTAAATTATTCTTTTCAACCACAATTCAAAAGCAACGTCTTATTTCAATAAATTATAATTTAGTAAATTTTTATTTATTATTACTTTTTTCAGTTTCTGGTTATTTGAGTGATGAGTGTGGATTTTCTTTAATGGAAATGTGATGACTGTAGCAGCTAGTGAGCTAGCATAGCAACGGACCCGTATCCATGACAACCGAGCTAACCCTATTTGCTGATGACGACCATGTGACTCTCCTAAACGTGTCGGGGACCTTGAGTCGAGAAGGTTTTGTCAGGGAACGGTTTCTTTTTTATGTTTTCGGTTTCTTCAGAAGAATTTTTTCACTGATCGTCATTTATCCCTCTGAAGTGTTTTTAAACGGCAGCCCGAGTGTTTAACCTGCTCAGCACTGAAACATAGTAAAACACAGACTCACACTGCAGGAACTCTTCTCTGGCTCTCGGCTCGGGGGCCTGGATGCTGTCGAGGTTGATTTCTCTCACTGGAAAATCAAACAATCTGTCAGTTCAGGAAGGCTGATGGTTGTTCTTTGGAGCATGCGTCAGGATATTTTGGGGATTTTTTAAAATGTATTTATATTTTTATTTCCAGTTTCTTGACTCAATATGGAGATGAAGATGCATTGACTCACATGCAGGGAAGGCAGGAGCGTGATTCATGGCGTCTGGGGTGGGCGTGTCCAAGAAGAGGCCGGGGTTAACTGGATGAGAAAGCAGCATGAGACACATGGCTGATAATTCCATGATACATTCATTTTACGTATGTATATATATATAGCTCTCTTACTCTGTGTTGGTGTTTCAGGCAGAGCAGCCATCCCCCCTGTCGAATGTAAAGAGAGATAGTTTGGCTCAGATTAAGGCAAAGTCCACAGTTTTTGTTGCTGATACAAGCATTCACGTCCTGTACTGAAGTTGATCAAAGAAATAAATTAGTCTCGAGCGTAGATGCAAAAACAGGAGGTCAAAAAAAAAAACCTGCGCTGTGTTGACCTGCTGATTCGCTGTGAACGCCTCGTTCAACTTTTCATGGACTCACAGTAAAAGTTCACCAGCTTCTTTCTTACTTTCTGACAGGTTCAGCGTTTTCGAGGCAACACTGTGTGAATTAATGCATGTTTGGCAGACGTCGGGAGGTAAAGAAGAAGAAGGAGAAAATAAAAAATAATAAGTTGCAAGCACGGCTGAAAACTGAGCGAGGTGAAATTAACATAATTACTTTCCACTTCTGCTGCTTCTCATCACTCTTCAAACAGTGCAAATGCTTTCACCACATCCACTGATAAATGTGCTGCAGTCACATTTTTCTCCTCCTTGACTGACGTGTCAAAACATTTCAGACTGACTCTTCTGAACAACTTCAGCTCTCCGAACTTTTCCTCCACCTGCTTCCAGGGCTTACACACCAGCTGACATCGAGGGATTCATACACTCGAAGTGACACTCGTTTGTTTTGTGACTTCCACAGCTTCAGTTACCATCAACACTTCAACTGACACCGGAACTATTTTCAGGGCTTGAAGTTAACTCAATCCTTAACTTTTTCAGCCCTTCTAGTGGCACCGGTTCTTATCATTGTTTCAACTTCAACAGTAAGTTCAGGATCAACATTGAAACTAACACTTCAACTTCATTTAGTATCAACATTTAAACTGGAACTTCAACTTAATTGGGTGTAAATGTGCAAACTAACACTTCAGCTTCATTCAATATCAACATTTACACTAATACCTCAACTTCACTCAGTATCCACACTTACGCTAACACTTCAATTTCATTCAGTATCAACATTTAAAATAAAACTTGAGCTTCTTTCGATATAAACGTTCAAACTAACACTTCAACTTCATTCAGTGTCAGCATTCCAACCAACACTTCAGCTTAACTGGGTGTCAATATCCAAACTAACATTTCAGCTGCATTCAGTATAAAATTTTAAAATAACACTTCAGCTTCTTTCAATATCAACATTTACAATAACACTTCAGCATCAGAATTCAAACTGACACTTCTATTTCATTCGATATCAGCATGAAACTAACACTTCAACTTAATTGGGTGTAAATATCCAGATTAACACTTCAACTTCGTTCAGTATCAAAATTTAAACTAACACTTCAGCTGCATTCGATATCAACATTTACACTGACACTTTAACTTCATTCACGGCTTTTACTGAAGTTATCGCTTCACCTTCATTTAACTATTTAATTTTACCCACCAGTGTATCTACTATCACTTCATTTCCTTGTCATATTTCTTTGTGTTTCTATTTCATTTCAGACGTCTGCCATTTTCAGCCCTCGTCTGGCTCCCTGCTCTTCTTCCTCCTTTCTGTGTGAAGCATCCAGTCAGTCAGCTCTGGTGGTTCTGTTACTGTGATTACAGAGGGGAGCGAGACGGTTGTATTCGGGCCTTACATGGGCTTCCTCCTGCAGGCGGTGTGTTATCGGTTGGGGCAACTGGGGTCGCCGGCGTGGCACCGCGGCGATGGGAGCGGAAGATGCTGCTGATGGACGCCATCCGACTGAAACCTGATCTCACCAGGAGGAGACAACAGAGGACAGAGATGGAGGACAGCAGGTGTTAACCTCCTACATGAGATTGTTGGTCAGAGCTGCACTGCACATGCTTTGACAGTTGGGGGCAGCAAATGTGTTTGGAAGCTACCTCCGGTGGATGCTGGAGCAGGTGTAGGAGCAGGAGGTGGGCTGACTGGGACTGGACTGGGAGTCACGGCTGGGGCAGGCTGGCTCTGACTGGCCCTGCTCCACGGGGACTGGGACTCCCTGCGGCTGGGAGTGGGGCTCGGTCTGGGGCTCGGCCTGTGGTTGGTCTCCCTCACTGATTGGACGACATGGAAGCAACACAATCAGTGTCAGTTTATTGTATCAACTCAGTAAAATCAAAATTATAAATGTATTATCACTTTTTATATTATTACACGATACAGAACTAACCCATCTGTTCTATTAAACAGATGTCCTTTCAAAAAGCTCATTAAACTGTTATTATATTGACTTAAATGTGCAATTATTCACTTTAAAGGGAAATTAAGCAAGTACAGTCAATTTGAGGGGAAGTTTATCTTTCTAGAACACAGTGGTTATAAACACTAAGACATATTTCTCTTTTAAATGGAACTCCACTGATTTTATATTGATATAAATAGATTTTTATGTATATTTATATAAATATAAATTCAGTTCAACTGATTATTAACCTGGAAAATTAGTAGATCCAGTATTGAGCTTTTTTTTCCTCTTTCTTCTATTTATCGGTACTACTTTTTTAAATAAACAATTTCCAATAAAACAAATGAAATTCAAAATGTGCTACTCTGGCCCTGATGCAGCCGCCTGATTGGTTACATGTCACAGCTAATGGCCTATCAGGACTGCGGCATAAATATTGAAAAACATAAATCAAAACATTTCAACCAAGTTTTGTGTTGGAGTTTGTGCTATTCTTAAACTGACACCAAGATTTTTATTTTTACTGAAAATGTACAGTACACTACACCCCTGAACGGACATGTTTTTGTTAGTTTTCTGCTACTTAATCTTAATAAATGTGTTATTTTATGTTTATTTCTGAGCCACTTATTTTCTATTCACAGGGATACTGAAGCAAAAATAAATTAATTACACATCTTTATCCTCTAAATTTACCAACTTTTTCAGAACAGAACAATGTCCATTTCAACAAATACTGTTTTTTGTTGTCTGACATCTGTCTGACTAGCGTTACTGGCTACAGCGTAGCTAATGAGTATAATGGAGTATCATCTGCATAGAAGTAGAAGATGTGGCTTTCAACCACTTGCCCCAGGAGAAGCATAAATAAGTGAAACAGAATAGGACCCAAAACAGAACCTTGGGGTGCACCACAACACAGAGCTGCATGTGTGACAATGTTTGGCAGAAGTTTATCTGTTTGCTGCTAACCAGCAGATGTTAGCATGCTAACATCTCAAGCTAAACTTCACAGTGTTTGGCACTTGTGAAGTTTGTCTGGTTAGCTTGAGATGTTAGCATGCTAACATCTGTCAGTTAGCACTAAACAGATAAACTTCAAAATGTTTAGCACTTGTGAAGTTTACCTGGTTAGCTTGAGATGTCAGCATGTCAACATCTGCCAGCTAGCTTGAGATGTTGGCATGCTAACACCTGCCAGTTAGCACTAAACACAGAGCAGGTGCAGGTGAAAATACACATTCCGCAAAAGTAAGCGAGGTCGCAGGAAAACCAACCCAAGGCTGAACCAGCGATACCACCGTCTGAATAAGAACACCGTGAATCTAATGAATTCAATAGCAGAGTTTAAGGACAAACCGAGCAACAGAATATTCCTCTGCGGAGCAATTCTGCCAGGCTGTCGTCGCTTGAATAAAACATGAGGAATAAGCAGAGGGGGGACTGACTTTTAAGCAGAACTAAATCTTGCGGTAGGAAGCTACCTGTCTCCCTCTCGTCTCTCCTCTGTCTGTCCCGCTGTCTGGGTGAGCTCGTGTTTCCTCTGTCTGCAACCAGGAGGAAACCCATTCGTAAAACATGCACATTTCTACCACTTTATACATGCAGACGGCAAATGGGATTCCTTTCAACACACAAACTCTCACCTCGCGGCGTGTCTCTGCTCCTCACGTCTTGACTTCTGAGGCCTGAACAAGAAAATGTAATTGTCTTTGAGTCACTTCAGAAACTGTCACATGGAGTGTAACGAATGTCAGTGAACGGTACCGATTCCTCGTCTGTCCGTGCTGCGCCCTCCGATCGAGATGCTGGGTATTGAAGCTGTGGAAAACAATAAAACATGCATTTATATGATGGACGACAAATTGAGAACGTGTGGTCACGGTAGGTTGAAACATACCTGCTGAACGGCTGTTGGTGTTGCGGGAACCCAGACCGGAAAACACTAGAGAACAGGACGAGTCAGTGTGTTTACTGAAGGATGGTGGAAAGCGTCTTCAGACTTCACAAGACAATACTTACATTTAAAAATCCCTCCTTTGTGTCCTCCGCTCCGGTTGGCTGCAACACATGAGAAGACGTTGTTATCAGGTGGAAAAGGCCAAATTAAAACAACTCTGTAACAGAAGAATGGAACTCACCGTCCCCCAAAGTGAACAGTGTTGTGTCATTGACTGGAAGAGAACAGACCAAAAAGATGCAATTAAACAACAACAGACGGTCGGTAAACACATAGGACTGATTGGGCTCTTGTGACAGACCTTGTTTGGTGATCTTGCCGAGCTCCTGGTTGCAAAGATCCTCCACTTTCTCCCTCAGGTCCAAGATGGCGTCTCGCACAGGCTCAAAAGAGGCTTCGTGGTTGACCTGCACAGTGGGCAGGTCGCCAGACTCCAGAGGGCTGCACATGGACTCGCATGTCTGACGGGAAACATGGCGGTTAGCTTGACTTTTAGAGGAAGTACATGACCTCTAACAGCACCTTCAGCTATGACATTAAAGTCTCTCTCCACCCTAAAAACTAATTTCTGTGCATCAAAGCTACGCGTAAGAAAATAAACCCTTAATGTGTTAAAATCTGCCTTTGTTTGATCTACACTACTGGAATGTGCAGAAAGAACAAATGATGATGAGACATAATAAAAAGCTGACAAACAGAGTCTTCACTTCCTTGACCTCCATCGCCCCTCCATCGCCCCGCCTACCTGCAGGTAGTGGATGTGGTCCTCACAGCGCACCAGGTCCTTCATCTCGGTGTCCCTCCTCTTCAGCTCCTTGATCTCAGCCACCAGGTTGTCGGTCACCTCCTGGGCCTGGCCCATCTTCTCCAGGTTGGCCTGATCCAGAACCTCCTCCAGCAGCTCCTGCAGACGCTCCACCGAGCGCCGCAGCTCCGACAGAACCTGCTCCGCGTCGTCGTGGACCCGGTCTGCAGAACGCTGTGCAGGCAGCGACGGAGACACAAAGATCACCATGTGTCAGTAAGACCTACTATCTGGGATAATGGTGGCATGAACTACAGCTTATGGGGAACGGGGTTTTCATTTGGACCAACCTTCATCCCCTCCATCATCTTCTTCATGTCCTTCAGCTCCTGCTCTCTGTCTCTCAGCTTCTGCTGGTTCTCTGCCTGCATCTCTGACAGCACTTTCTGCACAAACACATGACATCAAAACATAAGGAAGAGGAAGCAGGTGACACAGGAGAGGGTGGAGCGTTACGAACGGACAGGAATGTAGTTTGGAATGTCTTCAGCCTGGATGGAGCCGCTGACACACACAAAAGGAGAGACGACACCTTAAACACAAACCCATTAGACAACAAAGGCCAGATCACAGAAGGACTGATGGTGTTCACACAGAACACTGAATGTAGAAGCTTCCTGCTTCCAATTTAGGATGCTTAATTGGAACAAACAGAAAAAACAACAAACATTTTAGGGCTAAAAGTTTAACTGAATTGACGGAGTCCTGATCCTGTTTGGTTTTCTGGTGTTTCTGTTCAGTGTGTTTTTAATCTCACATCATCCAGGAGAAAACAGACAAACCGACTGTGAAGGAGTTTGTGTTCAGAAAATAATGAAAGCTCTCTAGAAGACATCAGCACGGACAGGATGTCTGACAACTTCCTCACATTTTAAAGTCATGTAAACAGTTTTATTCCACTTCATCTGACCGTGGCCCTCACCCTAACCCTTACCTGTCTCTCCAGCCGCTCAGCCTTGGTGGACACACACTCGTGGCCTTTGTGCTGGTTGCTGGTGCACAGCCAGCAGATGAACATCTTGCACTGGCGACAGAAGAACTCCTGCAGGTACTTGTGCTGGGTGCAGATCTTGTCAGCCAGGTTCCCTGTAGGCGCGATGAGCTCGTGCTCCTTCAGGGCCTTCTTGGTCTGGTGGGGCTTCAGGTGGGCTTCACAGAAGGAGCTCATACACACCAGGCAGCTCTTCACCGCCGCCCGCTGTTCTCCTTTGCACATGTCGCACGGCACAGCAGAGGAGGACATCTTCCCTTTGGATCTAGACGAGGCGCCTCCGTGGGCTTTTCGCATGGACTCCCGTACCTCAGACGCGAGGGCTCCTTTGCGGAGCTGCTCCACAGCCTCAGCCAGCATGGTGTTCCTGGACAGGGAGGGCTTGGGGCAGAAGGTCTGGCGGCACTGGGGGCAGCTGTAGATCCCTTTGGGGTCATCCTTGCTCCAGTAGTCCTTGATGCAGCCCATGCAGTAGCTGTGGCCGCAGGGGATGGTGACGGGATCATTGGGCAGGTCCAGACACACCGGGCAGTTGAACTGCTCCTCCGTCCACAGCTTGGAACTCATGGCGTCAATCACTGAGAGAACAAACAGATGGACAGACGGGAGAACGCGCTCAGAGATTAACAGAGGAGTGGAAGAGAAAGATCCAGAGATGTGGAGCAGTCTGGAGGGAAGTGTGGCGTCTCAGGTGAGAGCAGGCGGAGGTGAGATGGGCGGAGCCAGAGCCACCGGGCAGGTCGAGCCTGGAAAACGGGTGTCGGTGGAAAACTGCTAAATGCCACGAGAGTAAAGGTGGGAGTGACCATTTATTTATCACTTCATCAAAACAAGGGTGGAAGAGACATCCAGGTTCTTTACTTAAGCAGGTCTAAGGATAAAACAACGTGAACATACTCAAGTTCTAATGGTGACAGTCATGCATTTAAAACCCTAAACATTATGGGATTGTTAATATTAATGCATCAAAGTGTGTTCCTGTTATTTACTGTTGGATGTTCAGTCAGGCCTCCTACAGGCTCACAGGATGAACCTCAGGACTTCTAATAACTGTGTGTAAATCTTTGCTTTTTGTTAAACACGGAATCACTCAGTTGGTTATTAAACTGAAACCTTGTGAGAACTTTCGAGGGAAAAGTTCTCTTTGGTGAAACTAATTTATACTGAATGAAACTAAATCAAACAAAAACTACTGCAGGATGATGCAGCAATGAACCGAAATGAACAGCTGCTAATAGGAGACGATGTAATAAAACGTCACTGAGCCTGTAAAGGGAACAAGTGTGTGAACGAAGCAGCCACACAGCCGGAGTTTAGGGTTACAGGAAACTACAGCTAGAATAATAATGTTTATTAAAAAGCACTTCCTTTTGCACAACTGGCTGTGATAGATAGCTGATAAAAGTAAGTAAATATGTACGTCTCCTCTTGGTAAGAAATAAAACTTCTACTGGGTGGCAAAGTGCATTTAAGTGCATTCATTCATCAGATTTCTACATTTAAGAACATATCATGAGTTGATAATAAATATGTATTGTTTTGCTACAACATTATTATTAATCACAGAAAAATAAACAAATGTACATGTTAACCGTAAGAAAACAGGAAAAAAACTTTCTAAAAAGCTGTAAAATTACACTTTATTGTATTTGAATCAGCCCCAAATCCCACTATGTTACAGATGTTTGCTTTATTTAAAAAAAGGAATGCAAACGATTGAATAATCGTAAATATCTTTTTTAACATTTAAACCTTCAGCACCTGTCCTTGAACAATTGTATTTTGTTATTTTTACATTTGCCCATAAATTCTACGACTTTTAAGAAATTTAAATCTTCTAAAAATATCCTTATTTTATCATATTTCTCAGTTTTTAAATAGTTTTCTGGCACAGTTGCTGCAAATTTTTTTACTTTTTTTTTTTTTTTTTACAGGACTGCAGCTGTTAATTCAAGTTCACCCCTCAAACTTGAAATATATTTTCTTCCTCATTCTGCATCTCTATTAAACAGCAAAGTATCTCATGCTAGAAATAAAAAATGCAGAGTTTCACAAAGTAAATGACAGAGTAAAGGATGTAGTTTGATCACAGACTGCGTGAACAGAATCTGCAGCAGCTGCTGGAGGATCCATCAACAGGCAACTCAGACTGAGCAGGAAAATCCATTCAGAAACACATCTGACCACATTTGTCTCCTCAAGATGTGTGTTGATGAACAATCAGCATTGAAAATGAGCAGAAATATTAAAGCAGCAGCAAGGGGGACGTTAATAAGATAATGATGTTTATTATTTAGAGACTGGCTGCTGGACGAGGGACTTTTCACCAGGAAACGTCTGACGATGCTGCAGACTTAGAGCTGTATATGTTTAGAATGTGTTACCGGCCAGAAACTCCCAAATGGATAAAATGTGTTTCCATAGTGATGGAGTTCCTGACCCAGCTGAGCAGCAGAACCACCTCCTCCAGATGTTTCCTGACAGCATTAATGGCTCCTGGAGCTACACTGAGGGCTCCTCTACACACCAGGACGGACTAATCAGAGTGAAAACACAGCACTGGAGAAACTTAGCTTGAAAGAAGCTACGTCACAGGCAAAAAAATAATAATAATAATTTAAAAAAGTAAAATATTCATACCCATGCCAATATTTGGTTTACAGTGAATTTTTGTTTGACCAAACTTTTTTTTTTCTGGCTGTGTTGGAGATGTGAATTATGAATTTTAACTATTTTAATGTTTGTGTTGTTATTTTTTTATTTTTTTTTTTAATCATTTTAGCTAAAAATGCCGCGTCTAAAACAATTCAGCTATCAGTGCCAAAGCCTTTATTTCCACCACATCAACCAGACAGTTTGTATATTTCCCAACAGTCTTCCTCCATGTCTTCACCGGGACGCTGCGACCAGGATGCTCAAAATTCTCGCCAGTGCAGGTTTCACTTTTTTCGTGCTACCAGCCCTGTGAGATTTCTTCAGTGTAGAACTCGTTGTGCTTTTTGATGATGCTTTGCACTGTGGCCACTTGAAAACACTTGTGTGTGTCTTTATAGCCTTCAGCAGCCGCAATGTGCAGCTTTTCCTCAGTGATGAACCCTCACAGCAGCTGACTGAGCTCTCTGGTTTCAGCCACGACTTTTCGACATTGAAAGTGTATTAGAATGCTCTGGGACAGTGGTTCTCAAACTGGGGGTTGGGACCCCCATGAGGATCCCAAGATAATTTCAGGGAGTCGCCTGATCATTGTAAAAAAAAATAAAATAAAGCCTACACATATCAAATAAATTTGTATTCATGCTGTCAAAATAAAAAGTGTACATTTCTTCCCACTCCTTTTTCAAACTTGTTAATATTATGATTTGATTATGTGATATTATTATTCTTTTTCATTCTTTTTAAAATTATTTTCTTTTGTTTTTATAGTCTTTTTCCCTTTCACTTGTTCAAAATAAATTCATTCATTCAAAAGAAAATTGACGCATTGATGCATGAACAACAAAGTTATTACTCATGAGATATAAAAAATTCAAATTGGGGGTCACGATAACAATCTTATCTGTTATCTTGGGGGTTGTGGCTCAAGAAGTTTGAGAAGCACTGCTCTAGGACATGGCACAAATTACATTTTTGGCTGATATAAGAGCTCAAAAAAATGTAAAACTAACACATTTTAAAATTTTTTAAAGCTATGAACACATTTTGACATGGCGTTTTCACTGTGAACTAGTGAACATTTATCTTTAGCACCTCTAACACAACGTCTTGCTGTCTTTTGTCACTTGTTTATGTCATTTCCTACCTGAAGAAACCGAGTGGACAGGTAAAGATTCACTATAAATCAAAACTTGCCCGTGGATGGATAACTTTGGGAGTAACTGGTGGTCAGTAGGTGGCAGTGTCACACTCCTGTTCCAGTAGATGCTGGTAGAGTTATTGTCTGTTCTATTAAAATACATGAAAATACTGAAGAAGTTCAAGAAAACTACCATCAACTACCAAAGAGTGTTTCACCGCCAAGAGAACTCACCTGTGGTCAAGTCAAGTCAAAATAACTCCCTCAATAGAAAAACTGTCGCTATATAAAGAGGAATATCAGCTATTTATTATTCATATCGGAGGACACGGTTGTTTATCTGTTTTAAAAGGACCAAACAAGAACCGAAAGTACAAAAAGCCCAAAGAGCGTCTCAAACGACTTTCTGACGAACAGGAAGTGAAGCCTCTTGTGTCGCCCTGCAGCGCGAGCTCGCTAGCTGCGTTTAGCTAGCTTAGCCTCATTCAAGAGTCGCTTTTGATTTCACGACGATGTCAGATACCCCCGTTAAACGTCCGGGGGTCGGGGTCGGGGTGCTGGTGACAGACTCGGCCCACCCGGGCTGTGTTCTCCTCGGGAAGCGGAGGTGCGCGGTGGGCAGAGGACTGTACCAGCTCCCCGGCGGGCACCTGGAGTTCGGGTAGGTAGCCGGTCAGCAGACTGCATTCACAAATCTGTTCACTGTGAAGTTATGGATGTCTTCATGAACGCCGTTTCCTCCCCGATGGGTTCATAAAATCCTGAGACACGTTCTGAATCTATATTGTTACATGCAACTTTTAAATAAGTGTGCATAAACACTAATTTGCTGTTTTTTTAAACGGAGTTTGGCGTGAGTGAAGCAGTCCTTCATTAAAGATGATCTCAAAGTAAAGTCTCAGCTCGGGGGCAGTACAAATACAATATGTTCCCAGAGCAAAGGAGCTGATGTGCAAAGAGGAGAAAGAGATGTGAAGACTTTCCACTGATTTTCATGTCACTGACAGCGAGACGTGGGAGGAGTGTGCTCACAGAGAGGTGCTGGAGGAAGCCGGGCTGCGTTTGGTGAACATCCGCTATGCGTCAGTGGTGAACTGCATCAAGCTGGAGGAGCAGTACCACTACATCACTATATTCATGCGAGGGGAACTGGACAAGGAGCAGTCACAAGAGCCGCAGAACCTGGAACCGGAGAAGAACGAGGGTACGTGAAGTGGAACAGCGGTTTAACAGTAACAGGGGAAAAGCCCGTCCACCCACCTGAGCAGCTGATGAGACAGAATGTGTGGTCCTCTCCTGTTGCAGGCTGGACATGGACGCGCTGGGATGAGCTTCCTCCAGAGCAGCAGCTCTTTCTGCCGCTGGCCATTCTGAGGCAACAAGGCTTCCAGCCGTTCACACAAAGTCAACCCTGACACTGCAACACGGGACACTGAACCGACAGCACAAAGCTCTGCTGCAGCACACACTATAACAACATTACAATCTGTCAAAATTATGGTTTTTATTTATTTATTTGGGGAATTCAAAACATTAAGATTGTCAGCTGTGATTTTCTTCAGACTTGAACAAATGAATGACGGCGTAAACATATCGACTTCAGCAGTGTTAACAAACATAAATGCATTTGGTGTAATATTCAAAGATAAAACAACTTGTCTTACTTCAATGCAACAATTACTGGTTGTAATACTACATTTATGGATCTCTTTACAGATGTAAACATTTCAGTACATTCAAATACACTTTGAAAGAGTTTGTATGTCAGACGTGTTTATTCAATAGATACATTTAAGTTAACGAAATATATATATCAGTGCCATTTATTGAGGAGCAGCTCTCCACCTCAGACCAGGTTGGCTCCGGTGACGCCCACCGCCAGCAGCACGGTCCAGAGGGTGGCGGCGGCAGTGAGCACGGCCCCGTTAAAGGTCTTGTCATGGGCGTAGGTGATGATGTGCAGAGCGCCGCTGTACGCCTCCTCGCAGGTCGGCTGGATCTGATTTTCAGGAAGCTCGAAGCCGAATGTGCCGTTATCTCTGAGCTCGAAGGTGAAGGAAAACGGGATCCCCTGCATCCGAGCCCAGTCTCTGGAAGAACCAGAGTTGGCGTCTGGAGAAAGAGTTTCATTTTTGTTTTCCGGTTAATAAACACTGAAATCATCTAAAGTTAGCAGATGTTAGCGGTTAAGGTATAGATGGGTTAGCAGTCTCACTTATGTACACTTACATAATATGGCCGGTGAAGTTCCTACTTTGTAGTGCATCCCATGGATCTTCTCAATGGCCTCTGCTGCACCCAAACCCACGTCCATCTGAGGAACCACACATGAGCATCATAACCACAGTAATGTGCAGGGATCTAGTTGTCTTGTTCTCAGTTCTATTGAGATGGTACAAAAAAAACAACAACTTGGAGACACCAGGAAGTTTTACAAAGCCTAATACTTCCTGCCTGGTGTCTCATGAGGGGCATAATGTGGCAGAACAAGCAGGAAACTGAGCTGTTTGCACACTCGCAGCTCATGACGGCATCTTCGACGTGTCGCACAAACGCTGTGGTGGAGGAGGAGTGTGAGAACACAGCAGCCCAATTTATTCACAGCGTTCTTCCAGAAACACCAACCTGAGGACTGTGTCGGCGTTATTTTTTATTTTTTAAACCTTAAATCAGCTTGTTGGTTCAAAATTCCCTCCAACGTTTCCCTCAAGTTGGTTGAATTTAAATTGAACATTATTCAGGATGTAGCCCAACGGACTGGATTTTAAGGCCGATGCTGACGTTTACAAACATCCACTGACACTCTATTGGCTCATCCATGGAGTAACCTTGGTGACCTACAGCAGAGCAGGACATATCGTATGTCCACCTGCAAATTGTCCTACTTAATGTTTACTTAATGTATATCAGGTGATATATCCAATTTGTAAGCTCCGAATACAAATCCATCTACTAACTTACTCAACAGGAGGCTTTTGCATAAAGTTCATAAACTAATTCTGGTTCATTCATTTGAGCTTCATAACTGAAAGCTGTCACATCAGCATGCTGCCAACCTGAAGAATGACGGGTTGTTTGAGTTGTTGAGGAGAGTGGTCTGACTTCTCTCTGCTGTCCTGCTAAAGCCAGAGGAACTCATACTCCTGTTCTGCATAAACCTCTCTGGTCTCCAGTGGGTTATTACCTGCACCAGCCTGCCTCCTAACAGACAGGCCATCATTTTACACTATCAGGGTTTCACAGCTTCCTCCTGTTTGCTCTGTTTGCAGATGAGGAGTCATGTGATGTACCAGTCCTCGTGTATTTAGCCATGCACTGTTCAACTCTGGATTGAATTAACATCTCATTTACTGCAGGTTATGTGATCTGTGTCAGCTCCGTTTCTATGGCAATATGCAGAGGATTCTCTTCATTAATGTAGAAGCATGCAGTGATAATCATAATCAGACTGTAAAGATGGATAAATGCTGTTTATCCTGACGTGTGATGACATGATGAGGAACACTGCATGTAGATGTAAATACCAGCTCATCGTAGTTGGCGGCGGTGAAGTTGGGGTGTCCATAGGGAATCAGGAGCAGCTGGCCGTAGGAGTGGATGGTGAGGAAACACAGGAAGTCGTCCTTTCGGCTTTGTAGAAAATTAGCTACAGCTTGAGCCTCGGGCTCAGACTCTGCTTTGCTCCCGCAGTAGGTTAAGCTGCAGCAGTCAAATGATACGCCGACCGCTGTGAACGCAGCCGCAGAAGAACAAGAGTGTGGATCAGATATAATCGTAGCACCACTTCTCTCCATAACACAGGCCAGCAAGTTGACTTCTGCACATGTGAAAGCAGTATTACCATTTTATTTTCTTCAGGTTAAATTTACACAAAAAAGGGTTTAATTTAAAGGTTGGCCTTGTTCAGACTATGAGCCCCAAACCATTTTTTGGCAGGTCCAGACTGTAGGCAGACTGATTGACAGAAGTACTGAGCAGACTCATGCTGCTACTAACAGAGCACTATTGAGGACAACATGAAGAACAGCAGTCTGTGAACTCAGTGGATGTAGACTTCAGGTATGAGTCATTTCCATTCTCCTCCCCTTCTGCTATCTGTGTGTAGCCATTTGTCAAATCCCCGCTAAGAGCAACAACAACAATCTCAAACTAGCTGATAAATGACAAGTTTCGAGGAAGATTTGGCTCGTGCAGTAAGGCAAGACTGCTCGGTCGTTGCTGTGATGAAGCCATTTTAATGACAGCGTTGCCTCTCTGCATGCAAATTCCCACAACACTCCTCCCGTCATTATTTTGCGGGACACCGTCACTGCATCCTGGGCTTAATGCCATTCAAGACGATTGCAACTGTTTTAAAGAAATACCAAAAGAAAATAGTGTTTTTCTTATATTTTGTCTTTCAGAACGATAATGAGGTGCAGCCAGACCATTCTACAGTGCTGACACAGAAGTTACGTACTGATATATGAGACTATCAATGGACAGATACCAAAATAAGTTGCCTACTAGGGAGGCTTCTGCCATATTACTGATGTCTATACTGTTACCACAGCAACCCATACAGACAGATTGGACATTTCTGGACATTTCAGAACCAAATCTGGTTTACTTGGAGTCTGAGCAAAGTACTACTGGTAGATTTTTTTTGGCCACTTTGGGCCAAACAGAAACAAGCTGCTAACACTGAGCCCATAATTGAGTCTTTACACATCCAGAAGATACAGCATGAGCATTTAAAGTCTAATTTCTGACAACTTAACAAAGCAAAGTCCAGTATTCTGTCTGCTTTTAACTTTCTCTTTAGCATTTACCTGCTCTTGAAGGACACTTTTGTCTTTTTAACTGCTAAGTGCTTTAGCTAGCTTACAAGCTAAGTGCTAACTTTTGTTTTTCGGTGCTCTGCAGGCAGTGTTTGTTTTGTTGTTGTTGTTTTCACGAGAAAATGGGGAGAATGGTGAGAAAAAAAACATCCGCAATGTTCATGAGTTCTCAGACGCAGAGGCTGTCAAGCGTTTTTTTTGTTTGTTTTTTTTAAACAGTATCGACAACAGCAGCTTTAAGAGGAAGTGTTTTCTTTGTGCAACAAGCTATACTGATAAGATCTGAATGGAGAACTGTAACACTCACTGCCCCAGTTGGCATTGAAGTTGCGATTGAGATCGGTGCCGTAACAATCACATCCTGCGGGTCCCGGTGACCTGTTCTTCCTCCACAGTCGAGTCTAAATGGGGCAAAAAATAAAATTTAGCAGCGAATAGGACTGGTACATAACGTTTCTGTAGTTATTCATCAGAAATCAATTTGTTGGATGATAGAATCGTAGCTCATTGGAACTTAACTGCCGTCCCCTAATAGCCCATCATCCTCTCATATCCTGCTCGTCTGCGCTTTGAGATCTCGGAATCCGAGAAAAGTAATCTGATAAATATCTATCAAATACGAACTGTTTGATCCTTCCATGAGTAGATGTAGCCATCGACGTTGAGGACCGGTGTGACGTAGAAGTCCATGTCCGTCATCATCTTTTCCATCTTTGGGTCTGTTTTGTACGTTTGCAGAATCTGGTTTGTCAGAGTAAACAGAAGCATCAGGTCATGTACTGTTATGGTGGATGTGGTTTGATTTCAGACACGTTTTTTTCCTTCGCAGGTGTCGTACCTGGTTGACGAAGTACTGACAGAACGCTGGGGCGATCCACTCCCTGGCATGGATCCCACAGTCCATCCAGATAGCTTTCTTCTTCCCTTCGGTACTCAGGCCAATCTGGAAAACAAATTCAAACAAGCATCAAACATCAACACCAGACACTATCCATCCGTCATGCTGCTTTAGGAAGACTCATTTAGATTACCTTGAGTAAATTAATCGCCCTGCCTTCATAGGTCTTTCCGTAGTTGACGATGCTGGCAACACCGGGGTACTCCTTCTGCATCTGAACCATCCAGTCAGAGATCTGCAAAGTGGACCGCCATTATATATATTAGAACGTGTGTGTAGCCTGGAATCTGTAATGTTAATGAGAGCAGTGATCAGGCCTTCTCACCTCCGACATCGGATGATATCTGTAGTAGTCATACGGCGGACTGTCGCAAATAAATGAGATGCATTAAAGGCAGTGGTCCTCAGATTCCTCAGCAGTGTTCAGCTCGACTGGGTAATCATCTCTACTACTACACCAAAACTAAAATATTGTAAATGTTTATTGAAGGTAACTGAGCTAACTAGTAATAGCTCATAAAGTTGTGCTGTATATGACAACACCTCTCCTGCCTTCATTTACAACCAGAAAGGCTGTGCACACAAGAGCCAAAGCAAAGCAACAACATCCAGGAGAAAGTCTTGCATCCTGCACGATAAAAGTACGACCTGAGGTGGACAGCAGGAAACGGGAACTGTCTTTCGGGCACTAGAATTGTTGTTTTCTGTCTTTACTTACATCTGTGGATTATATATTTCTTTGTACTCCACATATGACGCACTGTTGTAGATTTAACCATCTACTGTATTGAAATGTTGCTACCTGACATTAAGGGCGTCCAGATAAATAAATAACAAGATTTCTATTATTATTCCCCTCAGATCTGACCTGATTCATCCTATTATTCATATCTGATGATGGAATTGTTCAGTGGATACGAATAAAAGGAATCGTTTTTAAACCTCGTCAACCAAGTCAAAGTTGAGTTTCAGCTCTTTAAAGCTCAAGTCCAGGTTCGCTCTTGAGTTGCCGAACCTGAGCCGAGCGTGAGCCAGACTTGTTGTTTGACTGAGAATGATTAACCTGCATGGACGCATAATAAAAGTACTATAGCAGCAATAATCATTTGTTGTTAATGATTAATCTGTCGAATATTTTGATGGTTCAGCAGAAAGAAAATATTGTTGACATGCTCATCATAATCTACTGAAGAAAAGGTCAACATCATGCTGTTTTTGTACGATCAACAGCCCAGAATCTCACAATCTGATCAGATTTTCACTCTATAGTTTTACTTAAATAGAATCTAAACATCCAAATGAAACACCTTGACATGTAATGTAGAATTATGACTTTTCTAGTTTTGCTATTTGTGTGTGAATAAAATATTTCAATGCTGAATAACCTTCACTATTTTTTTTAATATTTATATTTGCATCTTCTATTTTTTTTCTTTTTTCTATATTTGCACCAACCCACCAGAACAAATTCCTCGTATTGTGTAAACCAGTGGTTCCCAAACTGGGGGTCGGGACCCCCATGGGGGTCCCAAGATAGTTTCAAGGAGTCACCAGATCATTCCAAAAAAATAAAATAAAATAAAGCCTACATTTATCAAATAAATGCGTATCAGGGCTGTCAAAATTAAAAGTGTACACTTCCTCCCACTCCTTTTTGGAACTTGGTAATATTATGATTTGATTATGTGATGTTATTATTCTTTTTTTTTTTTGCTCTTTTTAAATTATTTTTTGTTTTTATGTTTTTTTCCCGTTTCATTTGTTTGAAATAAATTCAATTCATTCATGCATTCAGAAGAAAATTAATGCAAAGCGATGAATCTGTGGAGTTAACACATTAATATTTAACGCTTTAATGCACGAACAACACATTAAAATTGGGGAGTCACAAACATAAACTTATGTTCTCTTGGGGCTCGTGGCTAAAAAAGTTTGAGAACCTCTGGTGTAAACTAAACCTGGCGATAAACCTGATTCTGATTCTAATATCGATTTGGAAGCTGAGAAACTGAGAAGCAGACGACGGGAGTTAAACTCACCTCTCCAAGACTGCTGCTCCCACAGCTGAGAGCAGCAGCAGCACACAGCTCAGTCCCACAGAGTTCAGCATCGTTACTTTGAGAAAGAAAACTGCTTGTTTGCATCTGTAGCTGCGGTTAGAGCCTTATAGAAGACATGTATCAGATAAAGACACACCTTTGCCTCATCCACAGGTGTCTGGCATCATACACACTATCATACTGTTAATGTTTAATCAGCGCTGACGGTCTTGATTACATCTTTTGGAGCGTAAAGTAAATGCAGATTTTTACGTAACATCGATGGCCTTCATGTACCGTGATGTGCTTGTAATTATCCTGGTTAGATGATTGATAAATTGACTGAAAACAGCCATAAAAGTGAGCTGCTACACTGAATAGCTGTGTCAGGCTTTTCCCTCACTGCCGCTATCTGCCTGCTTCAGCACTCCTCCAGTTCCTCCTCGTGCTCCTCAGCTGCTCACTTTAACAGATTCAACAAGTCCGTTAGTGCTGAAACGTCAACAGAAGATGTTTTCTGTCTGCATCGTGTTCAAACTCTCATCAGGAGAACACAGTGTGGGGAAATGCATCGCTGCTAAAACGAGTTCAGAAGTAACTCCTGGTCGTGTCTATTCCGACCACATCCAGCCACACAGGAAAAAAAATGCTCATCCTATGAACGTAGAGGGAGAAGATTAGATAAGTTAGATAAAGATCAGGCACACAACATCAGAAACATGAAAGGAAACAGTCATGCGGCTGATGAAAGAGAGCAAAGGTCCACACAGCGCCAGGTGATAAACGCAGGCGCTGCACAGGTTATTCCCTGTCAGGAAACCCTAAAATCAGATTGGGTTTGAGATGTCTGCAAACAGCAGGACGTGGCTGGAGAAGGTTTCTCTGAGCTCACCTGGGTAGAAGGAAAACCTGGTCCCACAGGTGTAATTAAGAAAACCTAGTCATTAAACTCGTGCAGGGAGAAACGTGTGCACGACAACGGACTTTTTGTCAGGTGTAGATGTCATTTTAGGAGTTTCTAACCACCAAAAATGCCCACCAGACACGACTTATAAATCTTTAAAGACGTCTGGAGGGGAGGTTCAAACTTATGGCACACTGGTCGTATCGACGTCTTCATCCTGGAGTGAAGCAGCCTTATGTGACCCCACACTGCCAGGAACACTGTGACATGACCCAACAAGAGGCTCTGTGGCGTTTAAAATGCATTAGAATTTAGTCATTACAACAAACCAGAGGCATAAACAACAGTTTATCCGTGTGTGGAATGAAGCTGGTCAACAGAGCTCAGGTGGAGCGCACCACAATATGAAATAAATCTCATTTTTCATTTTTAAAGTAGCCCTGTGTTTGTATCCGTGGACGGGGATACTCACGTCCTGCTTTTGGTTTATTTTTAGAGATAAATTGCTGCGATGCTACGCTGCAGTTCACAAACAATATGGGATGTATTTTGGATTCCACTTTAAAGCTCTTTGTTCATTTTTTCAGCCCCGTTTCCTGTCTTCGCTCACCATCATGTTTTTGATGTTGAGTTCAGATAAAACATTGCAGCCGTTGTTAAAGTCTCACAACACTTGGCTGAAAGAAAGACAGAGCACCGAATCTTTATAGTGGTTAATGTTAAAGCTTTAAGCAACTGGAGTTACAACCTTTTGTGTTTCAATAGTACTTTACTTATAATCTCACAGCCCACAGAAAGACAGAATCTGTCTCAGATTAGCCACAACATCATGAAGTCTATTAGTCAGAGCATCACAACATTTTACGTTCATCACTGAATTTTAGTAACCAAAGCCGGGGAGTTGAATTTGTTTAGAATGAGCTGCTTGCTGGCTAATGCATGGATTTGTGCGCTAGCTTGCTATTATTTGATGGTGGGGCTGTGCAAGAGTGAACACAAGACATTTATGCACTCCCAGTGTCTGAGGGTTTTTTTTCTACCCCACAACGCTGACAAACACACGAGCT